GCCCCCTTGGGTGGATTCCATCTAGTCCCATAGACTGTGGGTGTCTAAGTGGTGCAGCAGGTTACTAACCATTTCCTCTGGGATTATGGGGGCTTCGTTCTGCTCCCTGTCTTCCAGCTCAGGGGGCTGGGCACCTGGAGAACAACAGGTCGTACTATTAAAGACTGAGGTAAAGAAGGCATTAAGTACCTTAGCCTTTTCCTCATCCTTAGACACCATGTTTTCCCCCTGCATCCAATAAAGGTTCTGCTTTTCCCATGTGTCGTGGTTTAATCTGCTAATTAAGTACTGCACAGCTGCTTGCTCACACCCCCACCCCATCCAGTGGAGGAGGAGAATCAGAGGAAAATACAAGAAAACTCATGGGTTGAGATAAGAACAATTTAATAATTGAATATAAATGAATAAAATAGTGATACTAATAATATTAACTATACTACTACTACTAATATGTAATGGAAATAATGGAAAAATTATACAATTGCTCAGTGCCCACTGACCGATATACAGCCAGGTCCTGAGAAGTGAAAGCCAGAGCCCAACAGCAAGATTGCAGCAGAGTCAAAGCAAGCCCCACCGGTAAGAGCATGAAGTCAACTAATGCACCAGCTAATTAACTAATGTACAGACTATGGCCCCCCCCTGGCTTATCTACTGAGCATGCCGTGCTGTGCAATGAAACACTCCCTTTGGTCAGTTTGGGTTAGGTGTCTGAGCTGCGTACCCCCCACACTGCCTGTAATGGGAAAGCTGGGAGCATAGGTGTGATATCAGAAGCTGAAAAAGCCCTTGAATGGGTACAAACCCTCCTTAGCACTAGCTAAGCCACCAGTGTTATCAGTGGTCTCCTCAGGGCAAATCCAGAACAGCCTCATACCGGCTACTGTGAAGAAAATTAACCCTGTGCCAGCCAAAACCAACACACCATGCCGTGTGACCTCCCACTTAGCCCATGCATTTCATCTTGGGTTAGACTGGACGTGCAAATGTACCTGTGGGTAAGAATCCTGTGACCACGGGCTGTGGGTCAGTGCTGACGATCTGATTGCGTGAGGTAGGTTCACCCTTGGTGTCAGTGGAGGTGCTCAGCCTGCGGCTTTGACTTCTGTGCAGTTGTCAGGAATTTCAGATGTGGCCTGATAGTGCAGCTATTTCGTGTGGCTGCTTACGTGAAAGCTGCTAGATTGTCGTGACGTTAGGAGAAAGCAAGAAAACAGACTGCTGAAATGGGTGTTATCAGCATCTTTCCTGGAAGCAAATTGCATGCCCAGCTCAGCACTCCTTCGCAAGAAGCAGGGACACCTTGAGGGAACTTTACTCACTTGATGTGGTGTAACCCCACTCCTGGCACCGGCCTTAGCTTTCCAGCACGCGATTCCTGTCTTTGACCACAGTGCTCTGGTAGGGATTGGGAAGATTGAACTCTGAGCTGCAGGAACAACCAGCTGCTGAATGAAGCTACTCATTCTCTCTGAAGCAGTCATGTCTTACCACCTGAACTAAAAGAGACCAGAAACCATTGTGATATAAAATGCACTTTCTACTTGTGCAGAGTGGGTCAATCCAGAGGCAGGATCTGGTCTTTAGAGCTGGGATGTTTCTGAAGAGAAGCCTGTGAGTGAACTCCCAGTGTGTCCCTTTAGGTTATGAGGCCTGATCACTGAGATATCAGCACAGACCACAGTAGTCGTTTTAGCTTTGCCCAAGGTTGTAGCTGGTTCCCAGGGCGGTCGTCTTAGTCTCACAAAGCAGGACTTCGCTGGGACACAATTCTGTGCATTCAGACAGCAGGGTGCAAAACTGTGTGAGTAACACATTAACTTTTGAGCAGGTTTTGTTCTATCCTTGAAAAAAAAAAAAACCTGTAATTTGAGGATTTCACTCTGAACACATCTCTGCTTTGCTAAATGGGGTGAAATAGGGCTTTGGTGAGCACCTGTATGTCGAGTTATGGTTGCTTCATTGCCAGGATGAAACATTGTGAAAAACGGCGTGGTACAGGGTCGTTACTTCTGCTAGGAATCATCTCTGTCTGGCTCTTCCATGAAAGGATTCAAATTCTTAACTTTCTCAATTGTTTTCTTTTCCTCGCTCCACAGGTGGTTTTTTGGAAAGATCCCCCGAGCGAAGGCTGAAGAGATGTTAGGCAAACAGAGACACGATGGTGCCTTCCTCATCAGGGAAAGCGAGAGCGCTCCTGGGGACTTCTCCCTCTCAGTCAAGTAAGTAATGCCCAGAAGCAATCGTGTGGTAATCAGGCCCTCTACTGCTCCTTTGGACTGGTGGGTAAAGGGTAGGTGATTGTCAGTGCTGAGGAGCAGGAATAATCTTCCAGATGCCCTCTAGCATTCCTGTTCTTCCACTGATAGGTATTTATTCCCTCTCTAATACAACCAACATACGTGCTCTGGCTTGTAACGAGCCCACAGGGCTGACCTGGCTGGCTCATGTAGTCCCAGGTGCTGCCTGGTGGTTGGTTTGGGGATTCTGGGAGGGGACTTTTTCCAAGAGCCTGTAGTGACAGGACAAGGGGTAACGGGTTTAAATTGAAAGTGGGGAGGTTTAGATTGGATATCAGGAAGAAGTTCTTCCCGGAGAGGGTGGGGAGGCACTGGGACAGGGTGCCCAGAGAAGCTGTGGATGCCCCATCCCTGGAAGGGTCCAAGGCCAGGCTGGATGAGGCTTGGAGCAACCTGGGCTAGTGGAAGGTGTCCCTGCCCATGGCAGGGGGGGTGGAACTGGATGGGCTTTAAGGTCCCTTCCAACCCAAACCATTCTGTGATTCCGTTCCTCCTCCTTACAGCCACAAAGTGCCCAGCGTGTACGTGTTCTCTCCCATCCTCCTTTATTCCTCTTCTGCAGCACAAATTATGACTCTGTCTTCTCTCTTTGTGTAGTCCACTTCCAAATATGATTTTCATGTCTGCTTGGCACATGCTTTGGGGATATTCCCATTGTCTAGCACAGGGACATGGAGCTGTGAAAGCAGAGGCCTCTTTCAGCTCTCCACTGCATTCCACGTTGGTAGAGAAACTCAGTGTAGTAAATGAAGTGAGGAAGAGCAGTTCTCACCTTCCAGTAACCTGACTAGAGGTATTGGCTGTTAAGCAGCAGGCCTTCCTGCTAGGTAGCCATGACCCACAAACACCATGCTGCCAGTCTTGCCCATCTGAATTCATTGTAAAGTAGAGGCTTTGAAACCTGAAAGGGTTTGTGACGTAATTTAACATGGGTTGGGTGTGGGAGGAATTCTGTCCTCAACAGTTGATTTTTGCCTTTTTTTTTTCCCTGTAATCTTCCCCTTTGAACAAGATTTTCTTTAGAATCCTAACAATAGGTTTTGATTATTCCTGCACAATTCCTAGTTTGCTCTGTTTCCTATGGCTATCAGTGATCTGTCTTGTCAGGATATTTTTTTCTGGTCATCTTTGGTCTGTAACCAAATTTTTGTCCTGTACAGCAGCACTGAGTCATACCAACCAACTGGATTAAAGCCACTGATTTTAAGAGATGTTTATATTTCTGTCTTGGATACAATCATCTGAGCTGGAATACTAGATATGAATGGAAGCTTCATTCCAGAGAGTGCATTCCTTTAAGAAACGTAGTTATGATGGCATAGCTCTGCCTGCCGGTTAGCTTAGTGTTGCCATCTGGTGGTGATGTCTCAGGTTTGGGCTTTTTATCCTGTTTGATTTAGAAAAGCCTTTTTCCTAAACAGTGATCTGCAGGATTTGAAATGGTTGGAAGCTCTCAGGTTGAGGAAGGGAGAGCAGAGGCAGTACTCCCAGGTTGTTTTGTGTTAGCTTTGTAGCTGAGCTAGTGTCTACGTTTTCAACCAATGTATAGAAGCTGTGCATGCCAAGTGGGGAACAGTTTTAGACTGAGGGAAAAAGACTGATGTACCATTTGTCTGGAAAACCCCGATGGACTCATTGGAGTTCCCCTTTATTCAGAGTAAAATTGTTGGAAAAGTAGCTTCAGCCGAATGCCATTATTTGTCAGAATTGTTAACACAGAATTGGGGTTGCTGCTTGCATGTGTAGCCTCACCTTTCCAGCACTTTCTGTCCTTTGTTTTTAAAGGACCAGAGCGAGCCTTTTGTTTTGCAAGAGGCTCTTTTGCCTAAGTCCAGACTGACTGCCAAAACAGACAATCCTTCCTTCCCTGTGGCAGTGTTTTCCCAGCAATTCACCTATAATGGGACTGGTGCTTGCGCATTGCATTATCACACAGACCCAGTGCTGCTCTGGGAGGGAGGGACTGAGACACTGAGAAGTACAGGACGGTAGCAAGAGTAGCACAAACCTAAATTGCCTGGAGTCGGTTGCGAAATTGCTGTGTGTGAAGAGCTGAACCGAGCGCCTGTTTGACTTCAGAATCCTGTATTTGGGACTGTGGAGTGGAGGCAGATAGTGGAGTGCTGCGGGTAGTTAATGTGACCCTGCACCGCACAGGCCATGGCGTGTGTCCGGCCTTCAGCAGCTGGGGTTACTGTGCACGTACACCAAGGACGTGTTCTGCATGCCAGCTACGTGGCAGTGTGGTGGGAAGTAAAAAGCTGAAATACTGCACGTCATCCAGGATGAGAGAGAGTTGTGACAGCAGAAAGCCTGTACAAAAAGACCTCAGACTTCTGTAAATTCAGAGTGGTTTGAAAAGCTGGTTTTAAACTGAAGTCCTATAAGAAAAGCACACGAGAAGCTTTGCAGGGTATTTTTAAAATAAATTCAGTGTTGGGATTCTATCTCTCTGATTACTGATTTCTGTAAAACACAACTGACAAGTGGTTTATGGACATCTGTTTTTTTACAGCAACCAACTGGTGTCTAGATTATCAGTGTTACTGACAGATTTCACTGTGCCTTGAAGGACCTTTTTGTTCCAAACTCTGCTGATGATCCCAAAAGAGAAGTACTCGGTGACTTATAATGTGCTTTTTTTGTGTGTGTTCTTCATTCTTTCCACACAGGTTTGGAAATGATGTGCAGCACTTCAAGGTGCTTAGAGATGGGGCTGGCAAGTATTTCCTCTGGGTGGTGAAGTTCAATTCTTTGAACGAGCTGGTAGATTATCACAGATCCACATCTGTCTCCAGGAACCAGCAAATATTTCTCCGGGACATTGAACAGGTGCCACAGGTAAGAGAAGTGACCTCGTAGAGTGCGCTTTGCAAGCTCGAAACCAGGGTCTGAAGGGTGATTGTGTCGGGGTAGGGGTGGAGAGAAGCTGACTGACATTTTTCTTGTTTGTGGAAGCATCTTTAGACCCTGCAGCCAGAATTATACCAGAAAATAAGGTGGATGTTTGTGCAAAGCCTCCTGCTAGCTCCTAGTCTCCCCTTCAGTTCTGGCAGTGTTACTGTTGCTGCTTGAATTCTTGGCTTGTCTTAATATTAATGGAGACTGTTGTGGGAAAATCATCTGATTCCTGTGATTTAAAAATGGGTTTACTCTTGGTTTAGAACACAGTAAGAAAGGATAGCTCTACTTGTACTGGTTCATAGCCAGAATGTACCCCCCTTTAGCCAGAGAAACTCTGGTACTAGTCTTTCACCAAAGAAATGGTTATAGGTCGTAACATACGGAACATCCCTAGCCTGCTGGTTTGGATCTAGCCAGTGCTAAGAGACACCAAAACCTACGGCTGGGTGCCAGCAGAGCAGCTTGAGTGTATCTAGCTCCGTTTTGTTCCATTTCCCAGGGCAATCAAAATGGTATGTTGGATGTAATCGTCAATTTTGGATAAAACCTTTTGCCTCCATGTGCAAGCACTCTAGTTCTAGCTTGAAGACAAGGGCTGTGGAACTCGTGCTGCTCCCCACGTGCTGCAGTCACCCTTTGCCGCAGTTTGAATTAACATCTGGCTCTGCGCTGTCGGGTTGGTGATAAACAGAGGATGAGAAAACAGCTGGCTGAGAATGACAAGCATGAAGATACCTTCCTAGCCTCACGGTTTTGAGAATGCAAACGCATGTTAAATAAACTCTTAGCTTTTCAGTAAGAGTGGAAGCATTTGCTGCCCAGGCAGAATGCCCTGCAGCACAATTTCTTGATACTGGGGAGTTTTAAGGAAAACGTGTAAAATGCCAACATCCAGTTTTTAGGGAGAAGTCTGTGTTAGGATCAGTAATATTCATGCTGTCGGTAAGAACAGGGTGAATAAGCAAAAAGACCGTTGTATTGCAATAGAATACAGATTTAGAGTAGATTCATGGAGACTGGAAAATACTAGGGGAAACCATCTGAGCCACCTGCTATCCTTATTTCAGCTCTTGCCCAGAAACTTGGCTTTTTTCTGAAGTCTTCTCCAGACTGTGCTTTCCTATTCCAGCATCTTGTTACAGATGTTGGAACCTGGCTTGCAGGGAAATGAAACAGCCCGAATGTTTGTTGTTAAACTCTGGTGTAGGTTAAGCTCCTGCCTGAGGGAGCAGATGTCTCAGGTGCTGTGGATGATTCTCACTTACCTCACGTTATCTTTTTCCTTTCCCTTTCAGCAACCAACATACGTTCAGGCCCTGTTTGATTTTGATCCCCAGGAGGAAGGAGAGCTGGGCTTCCGTCGTGGAGACTTTATCCAAGTCCTTGACAATTCTGACCCCAACTGGTGGAAGGGAGCCTGCCACGGACAGACGGGCATGTTTCCACGCAACTATGTGACCCCAGTGAACCGGAACATCTAGAGATAAATATTAGAGATTATTTAAAGAAGCCAGAGAAACAGTAAATACACATACAGAGCCTATCTGCAGCCAGTGACCTAAAATCACACGGCGATAAAACCTGAGTCGCCTTTCACCATGAGGTGATCCTCCTTCACTCAGTACGGAACTTCAGGGGCGGGGGGGGAAGAGTTCAACTTACACACCAAAACTTATCTTTTAAAAATAAAAAAAAGAGAGAGAAAAACCGAAAATAACAAATTTCCTCAGCTGCTCCTGGGTTACCCCCTCTCATTCGCTCTTGTTTCCCCTTCCTCCTCTCTCCATCAGTGCATGAAGTTTTAATGCCATATAAAGTCCTAAGCAGTTAAAGGAAAAGGGAGAAACTCTGCTGGTATTTTCTCTCTCCGCAAACGGTCTTCATTTGACATGAAGGGACATGAGAGAAGAACCAAATCCACAGTCCTGCCTTTAAAAAAAACAAATCATCAGTCTCTGCTTTTGCCTTCAACATTCAGCTCTTCTTGCCTGGGAAGGATGAGGTGTTAATCTCATTTTTATTGTCTCTTCTCCTTTGGCGCTTTCTTCTGAAGCTCAGCAGCTTCCAAGCAGGGGAAAGGAGAAGAGTTGTGTGGCTTTTGGGGGGTTTTTGGGGTTTTTTTTTGTTTTTTCTTCTTGTGAGTCACAGAGCTGCTTTGAGAAACTCCGACCTACAACTGAAGTCTGTTAACGCTGTGCTGACAGCTTTTTGGTTTTTTGGGTTTTTTTTTCTTAAAGGTGTACGGTTGAGCACATTCTGTATTTTTTTCCATAGTGCCTTTCCCTTCTTTTCTTCTTTATTATTTTTTAAGTTAAAAGGACAGTCCAGAGCTTTTCAGAGGGTTTTTTCTGCCTATATGTAAATAAATATTTCTGGGGGAAGGGTGTAAAGGACGGTGACTTTATCAATGGACATTTGAGAAAAATCTACAGAGATGGAGCTTTAATCTTAAGATTGTCTTACTCTTCAACTTTCCTTATTCCAAGGAAAATAAAATCAAGGCATTCAAGTGGCAGCTTAGGCTGCTCAGAGGTGGGGAGCTGCAACCAGGAGCCTCAAAAAGAAGTAAGAGAAAGGGGGGAAGTTATGACCAGGGAAGATGAGGAAGAATATTTTAGGGAAGGGGGGGGGGGGGGGGGAAGGGGGAAATTTGAGTAATAATAGCCCTCAGATATCCTATAAAATGTACATTCCTTTGATGGAAAACTTTATAATGCAGGGAAACCTCAAGAAATAGTGCTTGAAAAAAACCTTCATGCTATTAGTGAATGTTTCTATGTGATGCATGTAATCAGCCTGTCTCTTTGGCCTGGGTAGGGAATATCTGCAGTCGTGCTGCTCTTGAAAAGTGGGGTTGGCATCACTGTTCTCCAGTTTCTCCTCCCTCCTCAGGTCAGTGTTACTGTTGAAGTAGATCCCCCCCACCCCGCTCCCCGTTCACAGCAGGCTGTGTGATGACTGTACTCCCCACCCCACACCACCATGGCGTTTACTGCGGCCGTTTGCTCCTCCACCAGAGCAGTGTGACGTTAAATGGGACGGGAAGGAAAGCAATCAAGCTGCACCGCTCTCTGTGCCAATCTTCAGTTACGTTATTTTTCCTTTTGATGGCCGTTTGGCTGAATCCACCCCACCAACGGATCCAAAAACTGCAGCGGAGATCTCCTCCCGCCCCGCCTAAGCACGGGCTATCTTTTGTTGGAGGGTGCCTTTTTTTGTACTAAGTGTTACGAGTGTTTTATTCATGAGATGGACTCTGCCTTACACTTTAATTTTCCAGCAGATGAAAGAGAGAGCTACCCCGTAGAGTATTACTTTCTCCCCCTCTCCTTGCTAGCTGTCACTCACTTCCTTCTTTGTAAAGTGATTGGAAAAGGAATCTATGGCATTCTACACCTGGACCATTTGATTGTTTCCTTATTTTGGAATTGGTGTATATCATGCAGCCTTGCAGACATATGTCTTGTGTGTGTATATATATTAAAAAAAAAAATCAGTGTTTAAATAAAAAAGGCCTATGTACTTAATCCTTTAACTCTGCAGCAGCATTTGGTAGATAGTAATTAACTGTGAATAATAAATATACATTGAATTCTTCACTTGAGCATCTGTCTGTTATTTCGGTTAACTAAGCGAAATAGAAGTGATTGACCTAATTTATAGGAGGTGACGTGGCTATGGGAGGGGGCAGCTGTAAGGTGTGCTCTGGCCTGCAGCACTGAGACTCGTCGGCATCGTAATTCGGTCTCGGCATGCCTGGCTGAATTCGTTGCTCTCTCGGGCCGAGTCGAGGGAGAGCCGTGTCGCTGGGCACGTGTGGCGTTACGGGGAGGAGGGGAGAATGGAATGACCGTGTTGCTCCCGAGGCGGAAAGCCGTGTGTCTATCAGAACGGTGGCGTGGCACTTCAGTATTTCTTCCCTTGCTTTTTTCCTAAGTTTTTTACCGAACTGCTAAAGGGCCCATGTAGTATGGACTGTGATGTTGTAAGAACGGCGCGCTGGTTATTTCTGGAGCGATGTGCTGACGGATGGGGGAAGATGAGTGTCAGGTTTGTGTGAGCACAGCAGCCGGGGCTCAGGCTGCCTGGGAGCTTTCACTCTGCTTGATCTGCCTTGGCAGATCACAGAATCACAGACTGGTTTGGGTTGGAAGGGACCTTAAAGATCATCCGGTTCCAACCCCCTGCCATGGGCAGGGACACCTTCCACTAGACCAGGTTGCTCCAAGCCTCATCCAGCCTGGCCTTGGACACCTCCAGGGATCCACAACATCTCTGGTGTTTTCACTTTTCTCTTGTTGCCTGTTTTCCCTTGTTGCCTGAAGGAAGGGGACTGCTTAGTCGTGGTACCAAGGTGTGCAGGTTACCTGGCGGGAGCTGCCAGGCTGTTGGCTCTGCACCTTCTCCCAGCCTTGGCTTCTGTCCTGGAAGCGCCCGTGAGCTTTGGTTGTGATATACGATAGGAAAAGGCCCGCTGACGTGAGGGTTCGGGTGGTTATTTAACAGTTGCTCTTAGTTAATATGCTCGAATACAGATGTAGTCATGGAATTTGGATGGAAATGCCTGGATATTAGTTTTTATTTTTCATTTGTGCCAGTAAAGTCGATACAGAAACGATCTGTGGTGTGTCCGGAGCTTGTTAGCAGAACATGCTCCTCAGAATCGCGTGTTCTTCGCACTTGCCGATCTACTGGAAGGTTTAGATCTTCCTTTCGTTGTGCCTTGCAGAGGGAAGGAGCAGGTTGGTTGGTGCTGTGGCTGATGTGGCGGCCGAGGCCGTGGTGTCGGCAAGAGCCTTCACGGGTGTTCTCCGTCCCCTCACGTGGGTCAGCAGAACTGCTGCGGACCGCAAAAAAAAGCCTAAATCCCGCTCTATTTTACTGCCAGCCTCCTGAGCGGGCAGAGCGGCGGGGGGAGGTGCCGGCGTGCGGGCGGCGCTCTCAGCGCGGGCAGAGC